GATGTAAATGTTGTGTAAATACTTGTCACACTGCATTGCTTAGAGAATAAAGAAAAACGTTTGTGCATGTTGAGGACAGACTTCTCTGGGTATATGAGTGCCTCTCTGCTGTGTGGTGGGCTGAATCCAGAGCTGCGGAATCCATGTCAAAATCCAAGGTACAGAGATTTTTCTAGAAATCGCAGAACTTCTATATTCTTGAAGTCCATCTGACATCATTTGAAGTGACATTTCCTCTGGCTTATCCAACTTGACAGGAGCTGGCCCAATGTTCAAACACTATTGGAGAAGGAGGAATCTTATTTATTTAAAACTTAGCGTTTTATTGAAAAAGTTAATGAGTTTCATTTATTGTGTGTGTGTGTGCAGTTGTATAATGTACACACATGTATATGTACATATACACAAGTATGTGGAGGTGCTCAGGCATGCACATATGTGTGAGTCCATGTACAGAGAGAGATCAGAGATGGGCATTGTATGTCTTCCTAGATTATTCTCTGCCTTATATAATGAGAAGGGGTCTCTCTCTTGAACCCAAAGCTCACTGCCTTAGCCAGGGTAGTTAGCCAGCTTACCACAGTGATCCCCCACCTCAGCCTCCTGAGCACTGGGGTTACAGGTGGGCTGCAGGGCCCACTGGGTGCCTAAGTGGGTGTCGTGGATCTAAACTCCTGTCCTCAGTCCTGTGGACCAAATATTTCACCCACCGAGTCATCCCTCCAGCCCTAAATTTAATAAATTATTTTCAAAGTAATGTATGTGTTTCTACAGATAGTAGGAAGTTCTCTGTAGGATTACTGTTCTCAAAGCAGTTCCTCTTCCCAAAAGGGTTGTAATGCAATGAGCGTGCAAAAGAATAACCGAACAAAGGAACTGGTTTAAAGTCAGCATTCCTCCAATTGTGAGAACTGGTACTTCAGAAAAACAAAGGGGGCATTCATCTCTGGCACAGGGAGATCGGGTAGCATCACATTTAGATGGCTGGGTGCAGAGAAGACTCTTTCTGGGTGGTACTGCTTTTGGTCTTTGTGAAATGGGACGACCTTGGCTTCCCAAGTCCTGACATCCCAACTTGGATGAAATGTGGGCAAAGAATACTTGTCAAAAAGACAAAATGAAACAACCCTCAGGGTAAAACATGACCACATTTACCTAAAGTAATCCTTGACCATTGTAAAGAGCAAGGAGTGTTGGTTGAGAACTGGGAACAGTCTCAGACAGGCACTGAACCATGATGTCTCCATTGAGACTGCTGGGTAGAGTATCCCAATATTTGCCTGGCTACTCCCAAGAAGAGCAGTAACCACCATTAAAAACTGTGGACTTTTCTACCCATTCAAATAAGCATCCTTGGTAAAGAAAATTCAGGAGAATTCAAATGAGCCACCCGTCAGCAGAAAACTGCTGCTGACATTATTAATCTTCCAAATTACTCAGATCCATCATATACATAAAAACTCATCATCGGGCACTTGTGGAATAGGTATCCTTCACTTAAGAAATGGTCACTGTCAGCAAAGTTTGCAGTACAGAGACTTTCTATCAAATCAATCTTATTTTCCCATTGATTTCCATTACAAAATCCAAGATGCATTCTGCTGTTAACTACCATTAACGGCCTACAAAACCCTTTGGAAATGGCACACTTAAAAGAAAAATGATAATATCCCAATAAAAGTGACATTGATATTTAATATATTAATAATAACATTGTGTTGTATTCAATATGTCACAACAAAAACCATTCAGGGTAAAATATAAAACTGCCTCACATTCACAAAGGGAAACAATTCCTAAAACATGGGAGTTTAATTTATCACTACCTTTATAACTGTCTTGGCATTTCTATCTTCCTACGGCAAAAGTCACATTTTATCGTTTAGAAAAATCTTCTCATTTCCTGCTGGTTTCCTTCTTTAAATCTTTGTTCAGAAACCCTTTAAGGGCCTCCAATACTGTCCCTAGATGAGGAAAATCGGTCTACAAGGTTTAGTCATAGTGCCTTAACCCTGTGGCTGCAGGGATTAACTGAATCTAATAAAGCATAGGGTGGATGTTCCCAGTGCCTTGTTTAATTCCTAAGACAGAGACTACGAATTGTCTAACTACTGTCCAACACTGGTGATATATCTGTGTTTTCCGTATTAATTTCAACTTATATCCTTAGCACAATATGTTAAGTTGGACTGAGTGTTTTACTGAATAGAAGTAGAATTACTGATTGAATTTCAATGACTCTGTTCATTCTTCATTAATGCTTCTATGGTCTAGTTTTTCAAACTAGACAAGTGACTGATGATATTGATTTCCATAGGAATCATGTCATAATGGTGGCATTAAACATCTAAACATAAGGCTTTGGCTGGATATTCTTGACCATGGGCTTTTGCTGAATTTTTGAGTTCCTTACTTTTTCTTCACGGTATATGAAGTTTTGTTAAGCAATAGGTCACTCATGTTGGAGGGAAAAGCAAATTGACTTCCTAGCACACATCTACTACCAGCAATGTACCTAGTCATCCTTTTACCCAATATGTATGATCCAGTCCAATGCAAGCCTCCATATTCTGTGTTGGCTTTGGCATTTTATGTTAAAACATATGTTCTCTTAAACTATTACCCACAGAATTCTGAAACATTAAAAACAGAGGGGTTGGGTTACAGCTTGAAGCAATATCTGTAGGCTATTTGCTAAGAGACCTTGGTTAATTCAACCAAGACCAATTTTTTCTTTTGGCCAAGCATGGTCAGAGTTCTCAACATGTCAGTGTCTCAAGACTGAACGCATATAGAAAGTAAGGTCTACACTAACTAAACTCAGAAGGAATAAGCAGAATTAAAAAAATTTTGTTTTATTAACAATAGCAATCATGATGGTCAGAGTGGCCATTCTCCTTAAGGAGGCACATCTTTTCCCTACAGGCTGAGCAAGTGGGATGCCAAAGTCTAAGTGGAAGGTGAGCATAGAATGAAAACTAAGAGAGAGATTTAATCTCTAGAAATATTACTCTGTGTGTGTGTGGCGGTTTGAAGGAGATATTTCTGAGGCCGTGCTGGAGGAAGTATGTCGCTGGGGCTGTAGCCTGAGAGTTTAAGGCTGCACCATACTTCTGTCCTGTGCTTACAGTTCAGGATGTGAGCTCCCTGTTTTGGTTCCGGCCGTCATGTCTGCCACTTGCTGCCACGTTGTCCTGCCATCATGGACTCCGACTCTCTGGGACCCTGAGCCAAAAGTAAACTCTTCTATACGCGTTCTCGGTCACAGTGTTTTGTCACAGCAACAGAAAAGTAACTAATACAAGAATCCAGAGAAAGCTGACTTTTTCCTTGACTTTGAATCACAGGGACCATTTTCTCCTCTCCTCTCTCTGTCTTCCATTTCAGTCATCAACATTGAAACCTTGTCTTCTCAGTTTTCAATCCACCTCTTGTCGGAGACTCTCGCTTACATGATGAAACCACAGAATGCTGCCTAATTTCACACTTTATTTTAATAAAGAGTGTGAAAGGAAGGAAGTCATGAGAAGTTGAAAGTATTTTTAAAATTTTTATTACAATTATTAATGCATACTAATTAGACACATTAATGAGTTTCACTGTGATAGATGCACGCATGGAAAGTATTTATGAGTGGTAAGACCCTTTGTAAGATGGTCCCTCATTCAAATGGTCCTCATTACCACTCCCCTTCTCCAGGAGGACAAAGACAATATAATGCAAATACATTCAATTCTGTTGCAAAGTGAAACTGCAGCTCTCGCAAGAGGTATGGGGGTTCATAATGCCAATGAAAGTGAGGTCAGGAAAGCCACTGGCAAATGAGGACTGCAGAATTAAACTCAAAATGCAGGTAAAATCAACAGGCAAGGTGACTGTATGGTTGCTGCGGAAAAAGAATACTTCAAAATATGGAAGAACTGAGACCTTCCAAGATAGGCGTGAAGTCGCACATTTTTACAAAATGACCCCCTCTTTGATTATGCCTAATATTAGACCAAGTGACTTAGGAGTTGAGTAGTAGTTCCTCCCTCCCATTGTAAAGTTTTGTGGCCTATGAACTGATAGCAAAAGAGGATGTAGAAGAGAGAGCATGCCGGATTCATCGAATTAAGCAGTTATGTGTGAGATGAGGCTCTTCAGTAGGGAGGACCGGAGGGAAACTGCATTTTTATGCTTAGGGTTGCTGAAGAACGAGCAGCTGTGTGGAGGTCTGACTAGACAGAGGACACATGACCTAACAGTGACAAACTGAGAAAGTAAGCCAGGCTGCTGCTCACAGGACACTCGCAACGTGAGGACCTCATGGAGGACAGTAGGAAGTCACAGGGTGACATCCTTACTTGCTATGGGTCATTTTGGAGGAAAAGAATCCAGTTTTTTTTTTCTTTTTTGCCACAACTGCAGGGGAGTAAGAAGCCAGGGTAACCCAGGGAGGCCTTGCTTCATTTTCAAGCTACTCAGCACAGCACAGTGTCATCCCTTGAGACAGTGTGTGCAGATCCCAGACAAGTGCTTCATTATTTCACAGGCAAAACCAAGTGAATAAAACTGTGATGTGTTATTACTCCATTCCATAATTAGCACAAAGCTGTACCGAAACACACTTTTTTTCTTTTGCTCCATACCACATAGAATAGGTGTCTTAAGACTTTAAGACTTAAGATTTAAATTTTTTTAAATTTCTTTTTTGAGAATTTCACATGTAAGCATGATGTGTTTTGATTAAATATCTCCCCCTTTCTCCCTCCTACAATTTCTCTCCCAACTCCTCACCACCATTCCTTCCTCATTTCATCTTGGTTTTAAAAGCCACAGAGTCCACTTACTGCTACCTGCATTTTAGTTTTAAATAAAATTCCGAACAAACCTTTAATTGAAAAAAAAAAATGTTGCTCCTCAATTCAGTCTCTGTTTTAAGTAGATTTCCCTTGAGGAAGCTCTACCCGGCCTAAGCACAGCAGGGCAAGGCATTCATGTATTAACGAAACTGAACTTACCTGGTGGCAAGGCACACCTTAGGGGCGTCTTCGAGGGATGTGTCTGTATCGGCTACTTCCTCGTCATCACGGTCCAATGCTCACCAACAACTTAAGGGCAGAAACGCTTATTTGGGCTTATGGTGTTGGAGAGCTGAATCCATCACAGCGGGAAGGTAGGAGGAGGGCTCTGTCTGTGGCAGCAGGACCATGAAGAGAGTTGTCACATCCAGTGGACCATGAAGCAAAGGGAGAAGGACCAGACCCAGGCAGTACATTAAAGACCCCACCACTGGCTAACTACTTTAGACAGCCAGGCTTCAACTTTTAAAGGCTCCACAACCTCCAAAACAGTACCATCACCTGGGGAACCAGAAATGCAAAAACACGAGCCTGTGGAGGACATTCAGATTCAAACTGTCTTACCTACATATTCAATTAAGATGTTTTTAAGATTTATTTTATGTGTATGAGTGTTTTGCCTACATGTATGTATGTACACCACTTGTGTGCCTGGTGCCTGCAAGGTTAGAAGAGGGCATCAGATCTCCTGGAAATGGAGTTACAGAGGGTTTTGAGCCACCATGTGGGTGCTGGGAATCAAATCAAGGTCCTCTACAGGAGCAGCAAGCACTCTTAACCACTGAACGACCTCTCCAGCTCTCTCCAGCCTCATGTATAAAAATTTTATTATTTATTAAAATATTCTCATTTCTGAATTCATGGGTTAATATTATTTACTCTTGGGTATTCCCTGTGGTATCACTTCCAAAGTATTTTATTTATTTGTTTTTTTAAAGCAGAGCCTCACCTTGGCAAGGCCGAATACACAGAGGTTCGGCTACCTCTACCTCCCAAATTTTGAAATTAAAGGTATACACCACCACACCTGGCCATTATTATTGGAAATACTATCATCAGTGTTTTCCAAGACAATGTTTACATAGGAGACAGATTTTTGGAGTCAACTTGGAGGGACATCTATATCTGAATTTGCTCCTGGTACTTAATAGACATGAAATAATGAGCAAAATACATAATTCTCTGAACTTCAGTAACTTTAAACAGATCAACACACCACAGAGGTAAAGACCTGACATGAACAACTGTCAGATGTCAGATACTGAAAAGGCATTCAGTATGGGAGTCATTATTATTTTTGTTCCCTTATGATCTTATTGTTGATTATTTTGCATATTGGGATACTTAACATGTGTTCTTGCAATGTGAAACTAAGATTTCTAGGCTATTAAAAAATACCTAACAAAATCCTAATACACCAGGAAGCCCATTGTGAGTTGTCTGTCCGCAGAGTCCAAGAGACTCCCAAAACAATATAGGTTATTTCTGTTGACCTTGGTTGCCTCTTGGAGGTTGATGGTAGGCCCCTATTGCTGAAAACACATTTCAGAGGTTGGACCCAGAGGACTCGAGCTAGATCTCATCTGAAAGACTCCTCCCTGAGGACTAGTTTTCAAAGCACCAGAAAGCACTATGCAAGTGTTCAAGAGAGGGAAGCAACCCTACCTAGCTGGGATGCCTATAGCCACAACAACCACCATGGTGTGGTAACCCTAGTGGCACTCAGCTTGGTGGTAACCAACAGCTTTCTAATTGGACTTAAGGCCCCTTAACAGGAGGAACTCATGCCTGGTACTGGAAACCTAGTCATACCCAGGGCTAGGGGGGTCATGGATCTTTGATGCGAGCCTCTGATTGCTGCTTTATTGGGCCAACTATCCTTACACCCACAGGTGTCAAAGGAATGTCTCTTTTTAATAGACAGATACCATAACAGAAAACCAGAACTGGTCACAACTCAGAGAAGAAGGAATCTTGAGATGCCCAGCCTCAATTGCTATATCTACAACAAAACTCCCGCACTTAAGGCTCAGGAAACATCAAGGAAGAAGAGGCAGAAAGAACGTAAGAGCCAGAGGACCAGGAAATCTGTTGTGAGGTTGTGTCTCCTAGAAATGACAGGGAGCACCACCCATTAAACCTCAAGACTTGAACAAGCACAATACCAAAAGACATGCCAACAGGGAAGGGGAAAAATCTCACAGGGCTCCACCCCGAGACAAAGAATGCTGAGAGAGAGAGAGAGAGAGAGAGAGAGAGAGAGAGAGAGAGAGAGAGATATGTCTCCAGAAATGAGTTTCCTGTTAGTTAGCCAATCCCAACTGGTCAGCTCTAAAATCATATACATATAAGCAACATTAAATGGACTGAGCAGGTTATATTTATATATTTAGACATATATATATATATATGTGTGTATGTATGTATATATAAATGTAACAATAACAAAGAAAAAGAGGCCATGGATTTGAGAGGGAGGGGGAGGGGACATGGGAGGAGTTATAGGGAGGAAAGGGAAGTGAATTTAATAAAAAATAAAAAAAATTAATCTAAATATGATGAATGTTGAAAGCCTCCCTTTTGGAGTACTTTGTTGTATACATCTCTTAGAATGAATTCTTGAATGTCCTATAATACTTTGAAATAGAACTCAAAATGCTATTTGTAAGATTTACTTTGTACAACTTCGTGGAACACGTTTTTGTAGGTTGGGTGTCTGAAAGTTCCATGGAGAAAGCATCAGTGGCAATCCTCCAACCCGCTAGAGCAAATTTTATAAAAACATCTTAACCAAAAACCAAGAAACCCAATGTTTTGCCAAGCAGAGTCTCATGTAGAAGTCTTATACGTCAGGCACTCATGGACTTGAAGCTCTGCCAGGTCACTGCCTGCCTATCTGACCATGGTCCACTTAAATCCTAAGCCTGGAGATCTTCATCTATTAAATCAGAATAATGAGAATCCCTATGTTGGGGTTGTCCTGAAGGTCAAAGGAGATATTATACACATAGAGCATAATGTGTGATAACTATTGACAAAATCTTCAAACTCAAAATTCAAGATATGTTTTGTTCAAAAACAGTAATAAGCTGGGTGTGGTGGAGCACATCTTTAATCCCAGCACTCAGGAGGTAGAGCCAGGCAGATCTCTGAGTTCAAGGCTAGCCTGGTCTACAGAGTGAGTTCTAGGACAGCCAAGGCTACAAAGAGAAACTCTGTCTTGAAAAAACCAAACCAAACCAACAAAACTGGTAATAGTAAAAATACAAAAACTAAATTCCCTTGAGCCTTAAACAGCAAATTATGTGATCTTGCTTTGATGTCTGCCTCCTGTATCCAAGTTCTTTTTCTTCTCTTATTCCTCATGAATATATCTTCTGGCCTAGAGTCTCTCAATGGATTTCTGCCCAAGCCCTACAAACAGATAGTGTTGGAGGAAGAGTGGAGAGTGTGACATCTCCTATCAAATTAATGCAAGGGCTTGCTACCTTGCATTCTTTTTCAAGACCCTGGTCTGTTCCCTATGGAGCCTATTAGCTCAGATACTATTTAATTTCCTTGCTTAAAGTCTGGAGACAGTGACAGCTAACATTTAGTACCTCTAATGGTCACATACTATGCTAGGTGAATTGCAAACAGTATTTTGTCTTTTCTAACAAATCAAGGCAGGGATTTCCATTCTTGCTCCCGTGATGGGTAGGCAGAAGCCTGACTGCCATTTGCTCAAGTCATGCGGCCAATCTGCGTTCTTGCAAACAAGATATCAATTATGCAATTAATTTTGTTACTTTGACCAGTAGAATCTCAGGCACTGAAGGGTAAATAAACCAGCTTTTCTTCAATCTTATAATTTGTTTAATTTCCTTTGGAGAATGGGGAACTTTTGTTTTACAGAACAAAGTCAATATTGTTATCAACGGATGGGAAAGGTATGGAGTCGGTAAAACTGTGTTCTTCCATTGAAGGTACAAGTTTCTTGTCTCTAAGTACCGGATTCTGCAGTCATTCCGAAAGTAGTCCAGCTTTCGGTGTATTTTGGATAAGCTTGTACAACACTAGCCATTTAAGGTCAAGCAATTGGGCAACTCTTAAACACGTGCACTGCGCAGGTTTCCATCTCAGAGTTTGCAGAATCTCGACATCTCTAGAGCCCTGCACCATCCCAGCTCTGTCTGCACGACCCCAGGAAGCTACTGGATAAACCTCGTGTAAGGATCCGCTAGCTAGCTTCCCGCTCCAACCTGCACCCTAATTCTACCCAGGCTCCTTCTATTCTCTTTCACGCACACTCAAGGATGCTGGGCACCAGTTCCCAAGCTAGGTCTATGGCTCGGGTCAGAGGAACCGGAGGGCTGTAGGCGATCGGCGGCGCGCACGGAGACGCGCAGGCCGGGGCGGGGACAGCGTGCGGCGTCGGGGGCGGGCGCAGGCCGCGTCTCGGAGCAGCTCGCCTTTGTTCTCTGCCATTGTGAGGCACTTCCTCTTCTGGCGCTGCATTTCTGCACCCTATGGGGAATTCGGAAGGGGCTTTTGGGGTTTACTTTTGGGTACGTGACGCTGTCCTGAGCTTGGCCTCTCCCTGGCTGCCCTCCTTCCCCATGCTTGGCGGGGAGGCTGAGCGCGGAGAGCCACTTGCCCCCGACGGCTGCGCCACCGCTCAAGCGGCTGCTCCCGCAGGAGGCATCCCAACCCAGCACCGGGGATCGCACCTCCCGATCGGCCACCGCGGCGACCCGTTTCCTCGGATCCGCACGGGGTCCGGGCACCGGCGGCTCGGGAGAGCCCCGCAGCGAGGGTCAGAGGCCAGCGCGCAGCCCGAGCCGGGTCGCTCCGGCGTCCCGGGAGCCAGCGCTACTGTCGCAGCGGCCCTCCCCGGCGCGCTCGAGCTCCCCGGCCGCCCGGCGGCCGCCTCAGCCCCCTTATATAGCCCTCTAAAAATAGCTTGCCTCGCACCGCCTTGTAAGGCAGCAGGGAGATCCGCAGCGCGCCAATCGGAGGCCGCCGTCGGGGCCAGGCCCCGCCCCAGGGCCCGTTCCGAGTGCCGCATTGGTCCTCAGTGACTTCATGAGCCCCCTGTTTACCTTACATGGTCACACGCGGCCTAATGGACGCCCTCCTCCGAGATCCCACGGCTGCGCGCAGAGCCGGGTGGAGGGAGGGAGTTTGGGGAGGGGGGGAAGAGCAGGAGGAGGAGACAAGAGGGGGGGGGCGGGGGGACTACAAACTAGCGAGGATGGGGTGGGGGGTGGGGAGGGAAGGGAAGGGAAGGGGTGGGGGGGGGGAGGGAGAGAAGCGATCGCGAGAAAAAAAAAATGCAACCTCCCAAAATAAAGAGCAAAGATTGCATTAGGAGCGAACAGCGCTGCAGATATAGATGGCAGCTTCGTGTCAGTGAGTTTGCGTCCCCCTGCCTGATCCACGAGCTGGAGTGATTAGAGCCCTGGAAGGGAATTGTTACTCCCGTGAAGTCCCCTTTTTCCTGGCAGTCATCTGCACTGTACACGCTGGATCCCTCTCTCCATCCACCCCACTCACTCTCTCCTCTCTTACCTCCTCTCTCTCTCTCTTGCATTGATTTTTTTTTTCCTCTCCTTTTTTTTTTTTTTTTTTTTTTTTTTAGTTGACTGAAACAAAACAAAACAAAAGGGCCACTGGATGTCTGCCTTCTTGGGGGGTGAGCCAGACAGACTGACAAACAAACAGACCCAGCTGAGCTCGGGGGAGGGTTTCTCCTCCGGTTTTGCCCGGCAGCAGCAGCATGGACGTGTTGGCTAGTTATAGTATATTCCAGGAGCTACAACTTGTCCACGACACCGGCTACTTCTCAGCTTTGCCATCCCTGGAGGAGACCTGGCAGCAGGTACCTGAATGATTTAAATTACTTGTGTAAATCGTGTTGCGGCGGCGGCGGAGACGCAGGGGCTGCGTTGGTGTGGGCTTTGAGTTGAAAATTTTTTTTTCTTATTTTCTTTATTTTCATTTTTTTTTTGTCTGTGTGTTGTTTAAAATGTTTTCTGAAACAATCATTTGCGCTTACCTCCCCACCCACCCCTAGCCCCTTAGTGTGCTGAGCTGAACCGGTCCTAGCTGCCTGCGTTTCTGTCACCAACACACATCCTTGCGCACACGTTGTCGGGCTCACAGTCCCCCAGCAGAGACCTGCTGGCGAACTTCTGGGGTTTAGAGGAGCCGGGTGGGAAGGTGGTTGAGCAATGGTTGACAGGATGCCACGTTCCTAAATTCAGGAGTTCTGACCTTTTGGGTACTTAAATCGGAGTCATCTATTTCAACTGGTGCCGAGGACCGTCAGTTGCGGGGGTGTGGGGGGGGGCGACGGAGTGTTTTCCCCAGTTTTTTTTTAGCGAGTGTCAATAAAGAACAGGAGCTTGATTTTTAGATTAGAAGGTGAGCTGTATGTAGAAAGAGAAGCCAGGTGACAAAAGATGCTTCCTGGCTTAAGTATGTGTACAAGGAAGACGGGAAGATGTAGCTGTCTTAGGCTGACAATGCATTTACATTGTAGGTTCCCCAGCTAACGCCTCCAGAAAGAGCAGCCAATACTGTGTCCTTGTTTTTCTTTTTTGTTTGAGGTGCCTCTCAGGTTAGCACTACCTTGGACAAAGGGTGGTGGTGGTGGTGTGTGCTTCCCTGCTTCTGACTCTGTCTTAGAGGACTAGTTAAGAAACTCCTAGGATGCTGAAGGGTACTGGTGCCCAGTTGGCTTGGCATGGAAGGGAGGTTGAAGCCTGACTGGGGACAAGTTCACTGGGCTTTGGGAAGTGGAATTAAAAAAAAAAAAAAAGTGCTGGTCAGTGGAAAGTGCTGGGTCTGCTGCGGAAGCGGTGGTTTTTCCAGCAGCGATTAGGAGCTGCTGAAGGGACATTCTGCAGGGAAGACGGTGGCAGTGGGGGCGGGGCAGCTGGGGAGAAGGGGACGCGACGGGTGTTTTCAAAACTCCACTATCCGGTGTGCACCCGGTGGAAAGTCCAGGAAGACCGTCCGGATTTGAACGCCCGGAGTGTGAACTTGTACGGTCCATCCAGGAGAAAAACGGCTTGCCCTTGGGGAGGACCGTGTGCCATCCTTGGTGTGCGGCTGGCTGGCTGGCTGGCTGCTCGTGTAACTTCTCTCTGCTCCGTGACAGCAGCTTGTTAAGGCTAATGAACGGCTGAGTTTCCCCTGCCAGGATCCGAAGCAGGATTTGCCAGCTTGAGGCTGGGGTGTCACAGTTGCTGTTTTAGGAAGAGATGTTTAGCTCGTGGTATGGGGGAGCCAGTGGCAAAGGCTCGCTCGCTCGCTCCCTCGCTCGCTCTTCTGACGGTGCCATTGTTACTAGTTGTTCTTGCTTGGCTAGAAGCTGTGAGTTTTCCTCCAGGTATTGGCTTGTGTCTGTGCAGGGCACGGCATTCCGGTCGGAAGACGGCAGCGGATGCTGTCCTTTGCGAAACACACAGCCACCCACCGTGCACACATCATTGCTTGAACGCATCCTTTCCTAACAAGACTAGGTCTCGTGGAGGATCTCACTACATCCCTTTCTTCCTTTTTATTTTGCGAGTGTGGAGTCAGCCAAACTCTTGCCAGAATTTCATCTTTCAAGCAGCCTTCTTTTCACGCTGTCAGCCCATTGGTGTGGAATCAGTTGCATATTAACAACCGTCTAGACTGGTTAGGGAAGGGAATCTGTTGATTTAGTCAGCCTGCCCCAGGCAGCCCTTGTTTGTGACTAACTGTTTAGTGTTGGAGGGAAGAAAGTTGGCTTTATTTGTTACAACGTTCCCTGCAGATGAATCACACAACTTTGTTTTGGTTCAAGTTTTCAAGGTAGTAAAGCCTGCTCCTGGGGTGGGGGTGGGGGGAGTTGGGGTGGGCTCTTTAGAGGAAACCTGCTTTTCTACATCGGCCTAGAGAATCCAGAAGGTACAGCTTCAAGGAAACATCATTGGCTTGACAATTAAGGGATGTATTAGAGCTATTGTTTCCTCAGAAGCCAGCTCTGCTCTTCCTCTTCCCCTCCTCCCCCCTCCTTCCCTCCCTCCTCCCCCTTCTAGAAACCTCTAGCTTAGGTTTTTTTTTTTTTTTTTTTTAATCGCCCGGCAAAGGAATTCTCACCTCCATCCTCTTTCTTATTCCTTGCCTCAACTGTCTCCAACTGCCATCTTAAAACCCTTCTCCAAGTCCACATGGAAACATAACTTGTGGGCAAACACTTGTAAACAAGGTACCACAGCCAGGAGTTCTCTGCTCAGGACTCTATGCACAGCTGCTCTGTATAAAGGTAACCAGGACCTGAGTTCGTGCTGATGACGAAACCTTTAGCCTTTATCTCTTCCTTCCTCCTCTTCCCCATACCCCCCTTGCTTCTGAGTCTGAGGGGTGGTGGTGTAGTGGTGGTTTTATGCAACTGTTAGTTCACAATTAACCAGATGGTGAAATTTTGAGACTCCTTTGCTCAAAACAGCTCAAGAAGGTTGCTACAAAAACCCCAGGCAGGAGGAAGTGTCCCGATGATGCTGTGGGGTAATCAGATTTTAGAGGTCAAATGAGGAATCATTATTAGATGTTGTTCTTAAAGTGAGTAATATACCTGGCCTCGGGGACGTGCGGGGGGAAAATGGAGCTGCTGATAATCTAATTTGGTTTCTAGAGAATGGTTCTGGATGATAAACCCAAGAACATCTATCTGCACATCGGCAAATTGAGGAGGGGCTATTTGTCCACTTTGCTTCGAACTTAGGCTATGGGATAGTTTCCTGTGTCAGTGAGCCTGTGACAAAGACATTGATTGTGACAGATAGGACTATCTTCTGTCACTTTGACATGGATTCTTAGGCAGTGATATTCAACCAGAGTTCCACCTCCCAAAATTGTTGTTGGTGTAATTACAAACCCAAGTGGACATTCCAGCTTAACAGCAGCTCTCCATCTCCGGACCCTCACGGTGTGCTGAAGCACTGGCCCTAATAACATCATTTCTGCCCGTCATGTAACTGTAAATTACACCATGCTTCTGCGCTTCTGTGCTCTGTTATTTTATGGGATTCAGCTGACATGCCTCTGAAGGCTCCCAGCCTTAAGCTCTCTGAAAACTTGCAGGAAATATTTCAAAAGCTGTTTGAACAAAAGTTGAACACAGTCCAGCCTAGGACATCCGGATGCTAGAGTAGGGTTGAGGGTACCATTTGATGGTAAAGCAGGATACATTCATAAGTCACTAGAGGAGTCGGACTCTTTGAACTGGCTGCTGACTCAGAAAATAAGAAGCATTTCATATGACACCTTCATTTTCTTCCAGACTCTGCGGGGACTTAGAATTTTTATAGATTCTTTATTCCCGGCATGCTGTTTCATGAGGACAATCCAAGTAATCACAATGAGTATTCTTTGCACTTAACTTTGCTACATGTCATTGAGAAGCATGGCATGTTTACTTGAAAACTCTTATGGAATTATGCTCATTGTTAATGCTGATTCATAATTGGCAAATGGGGTCAATTTCAGGCCTCCCTTTTGCTTGGAGAAAATTTTCCACTGCTACTGGAAACAAATAAATAAATCATAGAACATTCTTCCCTCCTCCTCCTCCTCCTCCATTCCCTCATTGTTTTAAACTAATGGCATACTTGGCTTCTGTAAGGACTAAAGTGTCCCCATAACTCTGCAATTTCATCTTGGTTTCAGGCGTCCTGAAACACTTTTTATGAGGGCTTTTGGTATGAGGCATCTCTAGGGGGAAAACCTACAGAAATGGTTGCCTTCCAAGAACAGCCTCATGGTACCGGAGCTGGGATTTGGTCTGTGAGCCACGTTGCCGCTGCTGTGTGATCTTGCCTCGCGTGGGCCTGGGCCGCCAGGTGCCCTCTCAAGCAGCAAGACAAAGCAAACTGCAGGATCTGTCCATCCGCAGGTTTGCCACTGTCCCGATTTGCAGAAAACCCTATCATGAATTAGAATTTCTTGGCAACAGCACCACCCTGAGAAATTTGTAGACACAAAGGAGCCTTGGTAACCACGTTAAAAGGATAAAATAGCTGGCTTTTTTTTTTTTTTTTGCTATGTGATTTGTGGTGTTCGTCAGTTATTGTAAATCTATTTCTTTATTTGAAACAGTGTCTTGGTAGAGAGAAAAAAAAAAATCAGGACTGCCCTGATTCTGAAGACTTTCTTTATAAAGATGTAGTCACTAAATACATGTGGCTTTAAAAATGAGAGCACATGCGAATGCCATCAATCACACGCTTCGCCTTTCTGTAATAGATTCATTTTTATGTTCTTTTAATAGACACATCTTCGTGTGGGTTTAGGGACTCACGCACATAGTCTTTCAGTCTACCTGTTTGCAATTTGGTATTTTAAAGTAAGCCACGCTCTCCATGCCGATATTGCTACTACACCTGTCCTTAGTAAGGGAAACGGAACTTACCATTCTTTGTTCTCCATGTATCTCACACCCCTGCTCACCTCCGTGAGGGGAGAGGGATGCTGGGGTCCCATCCATTTAAAAGGCAAAGTAGAAGATACGGAGTGACAGCTTTGCCCTGAGATGATTTATGGATGGGCATATTGGAGACCTTAAGTGTTCCAATGTGGCTCTTCTCTCCCAGCCCCCTGCTAGATAGGAATGCCTTATTGAGGCTAATTTGCTTCTCCACTTAAATGGGGATAGTTTCGAGAGGGTCGGAATGGAGCTTTTAATAGCCATTCTCTGTGACTCTTCAAATTCTCCCTTCAAAGAATTCCCCTTATTTTAGCTGTTAGGGTATAAGCACTACAAGCTTACTTTGTCCAGTCCCGGCTAGCTCATGGTGGTAGGATGCCTGCTCTGATATCGGGTCAGTTAATTGGTAGGTGTTCCTATCA